TTTTTTTTAATTTTATTTATTTATTTATTTATTTGTGTGTGTGTGTGTGTGTGTGTGTGGCCAGCTCAGCCCACCAGGGGGGGGGGCTGGCTGGCATGTGGTGCTGGGGGATTGAACCACTGTCCCTGTGCTTTGCTAAGCTTGTTCTAAGTAGGTGCTTTAGACCACTGAGCCATCTCACCAGCCCCTTGCTAGGTTTTTTTTATGTTTTGTTTTGTTTTCTTGTACCGGAAATTGAATCAAGGACCTGCTGCTGAGCTGTATCCCTGGCCCCTATACCTGGTTGGTTTTATAGCTTTCCCTAGGAAGGGGTGCTTTCATTGGAGAATAAATTCTGGATCTCTCCACTTCTGGAAGTTGATCTTTCTCCTTTTTTTTTTTTTTTTTTAATTACTGGTGCTTGACTTGCAGAAGTGAACCCAGCCAGTTCCAGGTTGGTGTGGTGCTGCATGCCTGTAATCCCAGAATTTGGGAGGCTGAGGCTCAAGGAGTAAGCTGTGAGATATTTGTTTCTGTTTTGTTTTTGTTTTTGTTTTTGAGGCAGGGTTTCACTATGTAATCCAGGCTGGCCTTGAATTCACTGTGATCCCTCAGCCTCAGCCTCCCAAATTTTGGGGTTATAGGTGTGTGCTACCACACCAGGCCTTTACAATGAAAATTTTAAGCATGCAGAAAAGGTGAAAGAATTTTATAATAAATGTCACATCATACCCATATGTGGCAGTTAACATTTTGCTGGACTTCTTCACATTATCACCTATTTGACTTATTTACGCCATTAACTCACTCCCCTCTAAATGTATAAGTATGCATATTATTATTATTATTATTATCATTATTTTGGGGTTTTTTTGTGGAACCGAGGATTGAACTCAGGCCTTTGCACTTGACAGGGAAGGGCTTATTCCTACTGAGCCATCTCCCCGGCCCCAGTATGCATATTATTAAATAGAAATCAGTATTTGTTTAGTGTTTTGGTGTCGGAGGGATTGAACCCAGGGCCATAGCCACTTAACAGTTTACGCCAAGTGTCACTGAGTGGCATATTTGTTTCCATAGTGAGTATCTTAAGCATTTCTTGGGCAGGTGTCATTTCAACCAGTTGATTCTTGTATTATAAAAATTAACAAAACGTGCAATTTTTGGTCATCCTGTTTACATAATTGAATCGGTAAGTGGTTAAACATGCTAGGCAGGTGCTGTACCACTGAGCCATATCGTCAGTCTCAACCTTCCAATACAAAGTGAACTCTACAGAATGCCTGCTACCTCTACCTTGGCTGAGATCTATAGAACTCTTTTAACAACCAGTCCTGTCAAAGTACCAATCACTCAGAAAGCCAGCTTTGTCTCTTTCGGTTAATCCTTACCCCAACCCCCAGAGCAGATACTGGCTTTGGTTTTTTCCACCACAGATGAGTTTTGCCTGTTGTTTTTTTCCGTCATGGAGTTTTGCCTGTTCTAGACTCCCATGTAAATGGAATTGTGTTCATTTCTTAAGGTTCCATCACAAAGTGCCACCAGCTAGGTGTTTATTTATTTATTTTAGCAGAACCAGGGATTACATTTAGGCCCTTGCACTTGTCAGGCACGCACTTATTCTACTTAGCTATCTCCCCAGCCCCTAGGTGGTTTAAAATATCCAAAATAGACTCTCCCAGCTCTGGAGACTAGAAGTCCAAAATTATGGTGAGAGTGGGGACATGGTCCATTGAGGCCATAGGACAGAATTTTCTTTGCCTTTCTTTTAGCTTGTGTGATCATTGGTAACCCTTGGTGGGGTTCCTGAACTCCCATTTGTCTAGCTCCAGGATCTACCTCTTCAAACCCCCACCCCCAGTTGTCCTTGTGTGTGTCCCCTTACCTGGCCAGCTCCTCTCCTCTCCCTCCTTGATACCAGGCACAATGGATTAAGAGCCCTCCCTACTCCTGTGTGAACCCAACTGATTGCATCTGTAATGTCCCTGTTTCCAATGAGACTCTTATCTTGGTTATAGGGGTCAAGATGTTTTTTTTTTTTTTTTTGTTTAGTATAGCCCAGGCTGGCCTCAAACTTGGAGTAATCCTTTTGCCTCAGCCTCCAAGTGCTGAGATTACAGGGGTATGCCATCAACCCTGGCTAGAACTCATATTTTTGGGAGACTTTTTTCTTTTTCTTTCCATAGACTCACTGCAATTCAGGCTGGTTTTAAACTCAGTATGTAGCTCAGGCTATCCTTGAATTCCCAGGGATGCTGCTGCCTCAGGCTCCTGAGTTCTAGGATTATAGGTTGGACCATCACGCCCAGCTGGGAGGCACAATTTAACTCAGGACAATAACTGAGCAATCTGTATTTTTTTGGTAAAAGTTTGTTTTTCTTAGTATGGGGCTTGAGGTTCATTCTTGTGTTGATATTAGTGTGTTTCTTTCCTTTTTTTATTTATTTTTTTTTTGAGACAAGGTCTCTCTTCAATCCAAGCTGCTGATCTCAAACTCACTATGTAGCCCAGGCTGGTCTCAAACTCAAGGTGATGTTCATGCTTCAGCCTCCCAAATACTGACATTTATGGGTTTGCACCACTACTCCCAGTTTAGTTTCTTTTTTAAAATCTTTTTCTGTTTGACTGTATTACAGTTTGTGGAACATTCTCCATTGGATGGTGCCTCATTTGTTTCCAGCTTGAGTAGGAAGGATGAAAAATGTTGCCAAGAAGATTCTTGTACAAGTTATTTTGTGGCCATATGCCTTCATGTGCATGGGTAAATACTTAAAAGTAGAACTGCTTAGTCATAGAAGAGGTGCATATTTTATTTCCTAAGAAATTACTAGGCCTTTTTCCATAGCGAAACCATTTTATAATCCCATCAACACCTACAGTTTCTGGTTTCTGTATGTCTTCATCAACTGTTGGTATATCTCTTTTTAATTATAACCATTCTAGTGGGTTTATAATAGTGTCTCATTGTGTTTTTTTTTTTGTTTTGTTTTGTTTTTTGAGAGAGAGCCTCACCATCTAGTTCAGGTTGGCCTTGAACTCACTATGTAGGTCAGGCTGACCTTGAGCTAACTGGTGGTAATTCTCCTGCCTCAGCCTTCTGAGTGCTGTATTATAGGCTGTATTATAGTACCACTTCACTTGGATTAAATATGTTTAAAGTAAGGTTGGGGGGTGGATCCTAATATTTTATGACAGGTATTCTTATAGAGGGGGAAAATTTGAAGCTGAGTGTGATAACCCCTGCCTGTATTCCCAGCACTCAAAGGATGAAAGTAGAAGGACCCAAATTCCACATCAATCTGGGATACATATTGAGACTCAAAATAGTAAATAACCAGATTCAATCTGTAGTATGGTGGGCAGAGGGTTAAGGACATAGAAGCAGGACAGAGAAGGAAGATGAGAAGCCACACAGTGAAAACACCATATGATGAGAACACCACACGGAGTTAGGTTTGCAGAGAGGTACCTGTGAGCCCAGGAATGGTGAAAATCACTGGCATGCTGTTAAGGCTAGGAGCTGCCCTTGCTGTGTTTTGAGCTGATAGCAGCTGCTGACGTAATTTGGGCATCCAGCTACCAGAAGTTTTTATTTTTTGAGACAGGGTTTCCCTGTGTAGTTCAGGCTGACTTGAACTGTGTAGCCCAGGCTGGCTTCCCACTCATGGCAGTCTGCCTGCCTCAGCGTCCCAAGTGCTGGGAGTATTATAGTCATGAGCTACCACGCCTAGCTTTATATTGTTTTTTTTTTTTATTTATTTATTTATTTTTATTTATTACATTTATTTATTGTGTGTGTGTGTGTGGCCAGCTCAGCCCACCAGGGGGCGGGGCTGGCTGGCATGTGGTGCTGGGGATCGAACCGTGGTCCCTGTGCTTCGCCAAGCTTGATTCAAGTAGGTGCTTTAGACCACTGAGCCATCTCTCCAGCCCCAGCTTTATATTGTTTTAAGTGGAATTTTAATCCTTTTTATAATTCAGTTGTTTACTTATAGTTTAGAAAAATGTAATTGTTGTTTGTATATCAACTTTGTTCCTATTCCTTCGTTTTGTGTTTTTCTTTTTGGCTTCACTCTGTGGCCTAAACTGACTTTAAACTCACAATATCCCTGCCTCTGCCTTCTGAGTGCTAGATTACAAATGTGCAGTACTATACCTGACTTCACTTTGTTTTCTTAATTTATAGAAGGTTTATAAGAAAGTATAATATATGCATATTATCTATCTGTCTACGTATAAATAATAAAAACAAATTGCAGCACTCAGGAGGCTGAAACAGGAGGATTGTTGAGAGTTCAAGACAAGACTGGACTACAAATGTGAGCTCAAGGCCAGGCTGTGCTACGTATACTTTAAAAACAGTAAAGTATAAATAAGAAATAAGATGGCCAAAAAAAAAAAGAAAAGAAAGAAGATGGCCAGGTATGGTGGTGTACCCCTATACTACTAGCACTTAGTAGGCTGAGGCAGAATGAGAGCTGAAAGTGTGAGGCTAGCCTGGACTACATAGCAAAAACCCTGTCTCAGAAAACAAAAGTAAAAGATATAATAAAATATAAATTTGTTTTTTAAAAGTTTAAGACTATAGTTCAGTGATACAGTGTACGTGGGTTTGATCCTCTGTACTGCCAAAAAAAATGGTGAGGAAGCAGATTTAATTGGAGAAGGAAACTTACTTCCATGGTGATGCAAGTAGAGTCAAGTTGGAGGACAAAAATGATATGAATAACTTTGCATTGAAGCTGGATTTTATTACTTTTTTTTTTTTTCTTCTTCCCTTTCATCTAGTGTGGGATTGTCTTATTTTTCTGAGACAGTGTCTCACTATATAGCCCAGGCTGGCTTCAAACTCCCAATGATTCTCCTATATCAGCCTCCCAAGTGCTAGGATTACAGGACCACTATGCTCAGCTAGTATTGGACAATTTTTAAATTAATTTTGGATTTTCCTTTCAGGATAAAATCGGAGATATAGCTCCTTTAACAAATCTTGGCTGCTTGGGCAGAACACTCACTGTAGGATATGGAAATATTTCAATTAAGTGGTTAAGAAAAGCAGTTTTAGCTTTAGCCAGAATTGAACAGTATTGAGTTGTTTTCAATAGGCAGACAGTTGACTATGAGTTACTTTCAGTCTGTAAAACTTGATTTTTGGCTGGGAATGTAGCTCAGTGGTAGATTACTTGCATAGTATGAACCTGAGTTTAGTCCCAAGCAATTCAGAACATGGGGAATTATATTGTATCTGTCGTTGTATGTCTGTTTCACTTAGCGTGTATTCAGGGTTCTTCTGAGCATGTGTCCAAGTTTTGTCCCTTTTAATGGCTGAGTAATATTCCACTGTGCATACCCAACACTCTGATTCATCCTTCTATTGATTGACACTTGACTTTTGTGGATCATGTTGGCATCTGTTTGAATTCTGTTCCCAGTTCCTTGGGGTGTGTATGTGGGAATGGAGGTACTGGCTCAAGTGTAGCTGTAAGTTTAATTGTTTTAGGAACTGCTCTCCCGAGCTGTGGCTACAGCAGCCTCACAGTTGCACACCCCCAGCAACAGTGCACAGGGATTCCTGTTGCTCCACATCTTTTCCCACACATCAATTCTGTAGTTCAGCATATTTATTTATTTCCAGTGTCTACTGATCATACTTAAGTTTCACATTTTCAAGTGAGGGCATAGCTACATTTGATATTACACCAATAATCCCAGCTACTTGTGAGGCTAAAGCTGGAAGATTGCACGTCCCAGGCCAGCTTAGTCAACTTTGTGAGACCCTGGGATATAGCTTGGTGGCACAGTGCCCTTGGGGTCAACATCCATTACCACTAAAAAAGAAAAAGCCCTAAGAAAAGCTCTGTGTAGGTGGGTAGGTCCTGGGGATCAGCAGGCCTCCTGTGAGCTTGTGGTAGAAGCAACGATTGCCAGTTACCAAGGGCTTTGTGGTGATTGATTGCTGCACAGCTTCTAGCTGCTCGGCTCTCCCCTGACCTTCAGTTTCTTTACAGAAGTAAGTGTGTGCACAGGAAGAAGGGCCTGTGGGGCAGGGACTGATTTCCTAGTTGATGAACCCTGAATCACTGGGAAATTTTCTTCTTTCCATTTTTACTAATTTGATCTCTTTCCCTAATCACTTTACTGTGGACAGTTTGTTTTTGTTTTAAAAATTCCTTCACTGTTGTTTTAGTGAAATCTAGAGGAAGGCTTACATTTATATATTCATGTGCCACTTGGAGCCAACCTATGGACTTTTAAAATGGAATTTCAAGCTGGGTCCAGTGGTGCGCAGCTATATAATACAGCTATTCTGGAGGCTCAGGCAGGAGGATTGCAAGCTCAATAATGACATCTTAAAATTAAAAAAAAAAATGGCTGGGGATATAGGTCATTCATAGAGCAGCTCTTGGTTCAATCAATCCCTAGGACTACAAAACAAAGGAATTACAAAAGAAACTGTTGCTATCAGTTTTAATAATAGCACATTTATTTTCATTTCACATGTTTATATTAAAATACTTTTAAACATATATACAAAGTTCTGTTTGCTTATAACAGTATTTTCTGTTGTGAATCAGATGATGCTCAGCCAATACGGTTTTTAAGTCAGCCGGGGGAATTGAGAAGAGAATACGAAGAGGAGATAAGCAAGGTAGGTGCTGAAGAGTCCTTGCTTTGGGAGATTTTTCTGCTGTTTTCAGTTGCAGATTTCACAAATTTTCTGTGCTTACATAACTAGTGTATATTGAAATGCAAGTGATTTTAATGCGCTGCATAGGCGGGGTCCAGGGAGAGGTTTTCATTTTCCTGCTGTTCAGAGCTGAGAGTCAGGGAGGCCAGCCGAAGTGGGGAAGGGCGCCCTCAGGCTGTCTGCAGAGGAGGAGTGGGTGCTCACTGGGCTGCTCTCCTGCTGACTGATGGAGGTGAGGCTAGAACTGCTTGGTAAAACATGTACAAGGTCATATGTCATTTAAAATTGGCTCATGCGCACATTTTAAAAGATATTTTCTGGGCTGGGGAAATGGCTCAGTGGAATAAGTGCTTCCCTGGCAAGCACAAGGGTCTGAGTTCAATCCCCGGTTCTGCCAAAAAAAATAAATAAAAGATATTTTCTAGAAGGTAATAATAGTTTTAATACTGTATTTTATTAAGCCCAGTATAGCTAAAGTGTTATTTTGCCATATAATCCATATAACATATAAAATTATAACTTTTATTTTATCTTTTTTCAGACAGTGTCTCACTACACAGTTCAGTCTGGTCTTGAGCTCACTTTGTAGCCCAGGCTGGTTTTGAACCTGCGATGATCCTCCTGCCTCTGCCTCCTGAGTGCTAAGATGCACCATCATGCCTGGCCTAATATGAAATTGTTTTAATTATACATAGTTCTATATAATTTTTCTTTGATGTGAGAATCCTTCATTCATTTCCTGAGAGCAATACAGAAATGGGGGCGGTGCATATAAAAATTAACAGGTCTTTTTTTTTTTTTTTTGCTCCTCGAATGCCTTCAGGGCACTTTTGACTGGTTGGAGTGTTGTGGGGATCGAACTACAGCAACCGGAGGCTGACAGCTTGGTGGAAGCAGCCACTTAAAGAACTGAGCTAGGGCCAGGTCCACAGGTCTTTTTTAAGTTTTTTTTTCTCCTTTTTTATAATCTTAGTCTCCCAAATCTTTTGTAACATTAGTACTTTTTAAAATTTAAACATTCAAAATGTTTAATCCTCTATTCTCTCTTAAAAAAAAAAAAAATTATTTATTTATTTATTTAGTGCAGGGTCTCTCTAGCAGCTCAGACTCCAGTGATCCTCCTGTCTTAGCCTTCTCATCGCTGGGATTACAAGGTGTGCAGCACCATGCCCAGTTTCAGTGGCCTGAATTGCACAGAGCTGGCACAGCATGCGATACCAGGGATCGAACCTGGGTTCTTGCACTTGCCAGGCAGGCACTTAGGCCACCAAGCTATCTTCCCCCCTGACTTTTTTTTGAGATAAGAATCTCACTATGCAGTTCAGACTGGTCTCAACTCCCAGTGATCCTTATGCCTCAGCCTCCTGAGTGCTGGAATTACAGTCCTATGCCACCACACCCAGTTTCCTGTATCTCATTTTGTATTTAAAATATATCTCATTTGGCTGGTTCTGATGTTACTCGCCTGTCATCCCAGATATTCAGAAGGCTGAGCCAGGAAGATAGAAAGTTTGAACCCAGCTTGAGCAATTCAGTGAGATTTTGTCTCTGAGTGAAAAGTTAGAAGAGCTAACTATGTAGCTAAGTGGTAGAGCATAAGTATGTGTGAGGCCCTGGGTTCTATTCCCAGTACCACCACCAAAAAGAATTAGACTAGTTACAATAGCCACAAGTAGCTAATGGTTGTATATTGGATGGTACAGACCTGGAAGACTTAATAAACTGTTGTTAGAGAACATAATTGTACCATGTTATCCAAGCAGTGCTCTGGGTGAAGATTTTAAAGGAATTATTTTAATTCTTCTTACCATACAGTGAGAATAGAGTTTATAAGACTACAAGCAAAAGAAACCTTGAGTTGGGATGTAGCTCGGTGGTGTAGTACTTGCCTACCATGTCAGGTCCTTTTTTATCTCCAGCACCAAAAAGCTGAAAAGAAATTTAAGTTTAACTCAAATTACTTTAAACAGTTAGCTGAATATGGTAGCACAAAACTGTAATCCCAGCAGTCTGGGAGACTGAGGCAGGAGACTTGTAAATTCAAGCCCAGCCTGGACAATTTAGTGACTAAGTGATACTCCATCTCAAAATTTAAAGGAGGAGGATAGGATACAAGTGAATCTCAGTGCAAAAGCCCTAGGTTCAATGTCAGTGCTGCAGAAAGGTAATTAACTAGGGCCGGCCTAATAGGTCAGCAGATGAAAGTGCCTGCTTAGGCAGACACGGGCCAGGGGTTCGATCCCTGGCCTGCGGTGCTGGCCCTGCCTCTGGGGAATGAGACTGGATGGGGAGGCTGAAAAACCAGAGGATCACTGTGAGTCTGATCTTTGTAGTGAGACCCTGTAGGCCCTGTAGACCCTGTCCTAAATACAGAAGAAAAAACAAAACAAAAAAAGTGTTAGCTGGCATGGTGGTGCTGGTCTGTAATCCAGCATTAAGATGCTGTGGCAGATCAAGAAGAGTTTGAGGCCAGCCTGAACTGCATAGCAAGACTGTCAAACACAAACAAAATACCATCCAGAAGGAAAAGCAGTAGTCTCTCTCCTTTGAGAGCAAGAGAATTTAACACAGAGGGGTTTTTTTTTGTTATGTTCTGAGAATGGAACCCAGGGCCTTCATATTGAGCTGCATCTGTAGCACTTCTTTCATATTTTATTTTGAAGAGGTCCATCCCCTGGGCTGGCCTTGAACCTGTAGTCCTTCTGCCTCAACCTTCCAGAGAGCTAGGATTGCATGGGTGTGCTACCTTGCTTCACTGAACATAAAAGTTCTGTAGCAAACTTCCTGATCAATTTGTCTTGTCGGTCCTTTTCTTCGCCTCCACCTCCTCCTCCTCCTCCTCCTCCTCCTCCTCCTCCGCCTCCTCCTCCTCCTCCTCTTCCTCCTCCTCCTCTCCCCTTCTTTTTTGTCCTCTCTTTGTAGGCAGGGTCTGACTTTGTAGTGCATGCTGGCCTTGAATTCATTATATACCCTCCTGCCTCAGCCTCTTAAGTGTTGGGATTACAGGCATGCTCATGTCATGCCCAGCTAATTTCTCATTTACTGGAATTGATAAAGAACTTTGGAATCAAATCCTTACATTGCTAAAAGTGGTCCTTATCTCTTCCATGCAAGATAGATTTAAGAGTACGTGCACGACCACAGGTTCTAGAATCTAAGTTGGAGCAGACTGCCACTTAATTGGCTTCCCTAGGTATCTCCCTCCTCCCATGTAAAGTGTGCAGGATTGACAGCCTCTGTTTGTTCATGGCTACTGTGCCAGGGATCCATCTGGGTGTTGTGGAGAGGTCCTACTCACTGGGAGTCAGTTTCTCTCTTCCCACCCTCCTCCCCAGGGTCAGGTTCAGGAAAGTGGCTCTGCCTTGCTCAGGATGCAGCTCCGTTACATGGAGTGGCATCACCAAAGGAGACTTGTGCAGAGCAGCAGCCACTGTGCCAGACGCTGAGGTGTGGGCTTCAGCTGGCCTTGCTGGGCTGGCTGAGGAATGCTACCTAGGAGCCCTGGGATTTGCTTTGTTGGGGTTGTTGGTTTTTGTTTGTGTGTTTCTGAGACAGGGTCTCTGTGTAGCTCAGGCTGACTTTGAACTCTCAGCAGTTCTGCTTCGGCCTCCAGAGTATAGATCTGAAATCTGAGATCCCTCTGGAAGTACTGTATGCATTTTCCTGTCTGGATTTGTATTTTTAACTCTTGCGAATTTGTTCCAGCTTCCTTCAGTTTTTTTCTCTTTTTTGGTTTTATGAAATATTCTGATTCTATAGTCCAAGCCAACCCTGAAATCACTGGCTGGCCTTGACTCCTGAATCCTTTTCTGATGGCTTGGATGCAGTTCTTCTTTTTCTTTTTGTCTGTTTGAGACAGGGCTCCTGCCTCAGCCTCCCAAGTGCTGGGATTCTAGGTGTGAGCCACCACACCCAACTTTACAATTCTTTTTTTTTTTTTTTTATATTTATTTATTTATTTATTGTATATGTGTGTGTGTGACCAGCTCAGCCCACCAGGGGGCAGGGCTGGCTGGCATGTGGTGCTGGGGGATTGAACCGCGGT